CCATTCGAACAACTGCACTCTGTTGCGCCTGGAAACTCAAAATCCGGTCCCTGATGCACGATCCAAACATTTTAGCGGAATCCAACTCCAAGAAGTAGACATAGAGAACGATCTCGGCATCTGGATGACAGACAACCTCAAGCCTTCTACCCAATGTTGTAAGGCGTCTCATGTTGCAACTTCAATGTTGTACGCCATCAAGTGGACATTCACGGTTTTTGATGAAGGCTGCTTCTCGAAAATCGTCAGTACCTTCATAAGGCCACATCTTGAATACGCAATTCAAGCCTGGACCTTAGAAGAACCTTTGACAAGGCCAACAAAACAGGTGTTTTATAGTGAAATTGGAACCCCTGGACATTCAGCTTCCTCTCCTTGAATTCGTTGGCTCCTACTTGTGCAACTGAAGCCAGAAGGTCTCAGTAAGTAATAGCTACGCGACGCCTCAATTGATCATGAGTGTCGTTTTTCAAAACATGGTCCTGGGTCCCTTCCTCTTCATTCTATACATCCATGAAAATTCAACAGTACACAACACTCAATTAATCTAATTTACACAGACGACCTTAGGTGTATTTATTTATTTTCTGATGAAATTATCAATATTAACGTCGATGAAATCAACGCACACTTCCTAAAACTTTTATGCAGGTGCTTAGCTTGTTAGATGGTTTGTTCTCTTTCAACTCGAGATTGATAACGTGATCCAGCTGTTTACAGAGTTCTGGTAGGCTACTCTGTATAGCAGCATTTGAGTAAGAGGTTACGAAATTGCATGACGTCATTTAATTCTGTAAAACTTGTTGTCTTTGTGTTCTCAAAAGTTCTTCGGAAAAGAATGCTTCAGTGCTCAGATAATTGAAACTAAGTGAAACATTCGACTAATAAAAGACTCAATTTAAAGAAAATGAAACAATGTGTTATAATACGCTACTACTGAGGAGCGCACTTCAGGGATATTTTCTAGCCCCTGGGGCTTCGGGAATGTGGCCGTCCGTAGTTTTCTTGGGCATATGGTTGTCGTATGGGACATCTGGCCTTCCC